AATCTGCTTGAGCATGAGTGCGAAGAGATTCTTCTACTTGTCGGGGATCTCGGCTGCCATCTTCTGTGAGTCCTCCTTCGTGCCGCCCTCGGTCCGTCTCGACTTCCGTTCGTCGCGTTGCCCCTGTCCACCGTCGCCCCCAGGGGCTGTTGCCCCCCCGCTCGGCGCCGCCAGGACGCCAGGCACGATGAGATAGCGACGGGAGGGGTCGAGGTAGACGCTCGTCTTGGAGGCGCCGAAAATACTCTATGCTCGATTGAAAGTCTACGGACGTCGGGCGCAGAGGGCATGTCCACTCGTTCTTCTGCTCTGGTTCCCAAGACATGAGAGCTCTACCCATGATGCATCTGCCATATCCATGATAATGTTTCAAATGTTTGCGAGCATTGTGTACGTCTTTGAATATACTCATGCAGTTAGGGCATTGGTTAGATATAACACCACTATGCAATGTGTAGTTCATCTTGTGTCCGTTTGTCTGATGCCCCATAAGAGCCCTGTAGGCGTCGAACTGGAGGCCACACGAGTTCCCCTCGGGGTCCCTGATCATGCATGTGCATACGTTTTCGCGTTTGGCTTCGGGGCAATGTACTTCTGGAAATAGCGCGCGCCGATTATCATAATTCGTGAACGCTGCTGCTCTCAAGATCAAGGGGTCGATGCGAGTGGAGTCGCGGGACGAGTCGGAGCTGGGGTCGACTAGGGCCCTCCACGAGAAACCAGCCGCCCCAAGCTTCGAAAGAAACAAAAGAAGGAAGAATAAGAAGAAAGAAGGGAGGAAGGGGGGGAAAAAAAAAAAAAAAAAAAAAAAAAAAAAAAAAAAAAAAAAAAAAAAAAAAAAAAAAAAAAAAAAAAAAAAAAAAAAAAAAAAAAAAAAAAAAAAAAAAAAAAAAAAAAAAAAAAAAAAACGCCCCCCCCCCCCCCCCTAGAGGTACAGACTGCGAAAAAATCTTTTGCCCAAGGATTTGCGTCGATACTGGGCTGTCCGTCTGGCAACAGCGTCGGTCGCGCATTCTGCAAATGACCGAAAATCGCCGCAATAGCCCGGTGGTTGAGCACGTCTTGAAGCCACCTGATCCTGCGCACAGCCAACTCTCCCAGGGCAGGGAGGATGCGAAATCTGTAGAGCACCTCTGAATTCCGAAGTGTGCAAACGTGCGCAGGGGTCGATTCGTTGATATTCTGCTGGCTTATGGACGAATGCTTCTCAACCCGTGATGCCACTTTCCACAACTTTGCCAAGAAAGAGCTCGCGCTTGAGGCGATGCAATCCACGCTCGTGCCAAAATAGACCGATGACCGACCAGCCCGCGGGCATAGGGCGCATTCTGCACTGCACTTCTGGAGCGTTGGAGCCGTTCCTATGGCGCCGAGCTCCCAACTGCCTAGCGCGGCTTCGAACGGTGCCACAGGACTCAGGGCAGATTTCCTGAAGGCGACGGTTTTCCTTGGTGGATCCCAAACATGGTATGATGTCTTTGTTCTGCATATTCTGTCGAAAACGCAATTTTTCCAGAACCTGCTTCGTGTTCGAGTCGCCTTCCTGGATTGCCTCTGAAGCCCCAGACGCCGAGGAATCTTCTAAAAGTCGCCTTCGAAATAAATCATCTGCAATACCTACCATCGAACAGTCCAGAGCTGCGTTTCCAAAAACTCCTGATAGGTAAATGGGGGGCCCGTCGAGCTCGTAGCACATGTCGAAGACGCCAACGAATTGCCGAAGTGCCTCACAGGATCCGTGGAGCCCCCCGTTCTTGCTGATAAAAGCCTCAGACTTGTTGTCTACTTCGGTTAAAACTACACTGTTGTTCGGGCGCTGCTTCGCGAAATCCTGGAGATCCTCGCGCGCCATGATCTCAGAAGTGTGCGTTAAAAGGTTCTCAGTCGTTGGACACAAGAATGCATTCGTCACGTCGTGAAGCTCGCAAATGTGGGGGGCCCTGGCTTTTCGTGATGACCATCCTAGACGTGTTTGTACTAGTATGCCCCCCCCCCCCCCCCCCCCTCTGATATCTCAGAAAACCATGCCACCTTCCAGAAAACGATTTGTCAGACGCCTCCTCTTCCCCCCCCCCCCCCCCCCCCCCCCCCCCCCCTATATAGCACTGAATACCAACATTTCCAAAACACATCCGATACGTGTAATGCGCGTTGGCGGAACATGTTGCTCTTCCCGTTAGACTTGTCAAGCAGGGCCCCCTCAGTGGCACTAGATTTTGTGGGCAGCTGCCCCACCTCGAAAGGCCGAGTCAAACTGTTTTCAAACTCCAAGCGTGCCCGTGTCATCTCTGCAGTGGCTGCAAGTATGTGCTCACGCCCGCCAGGGGCTCGCTGGTCGTCGGGGTTCGCACGGCCTGGTTGAGTACTAATTGTTCGTGCCGACTGAGACGTTGGGGGAGCAATTTGTTCGTTAAGTTCTTCGTGCGGTCCCATGTGCAGGTCGATGTCCATGTTGTCGATCTCTGCGAAGGGGTCTCTCTCCCCCTCGTCGGCCGTAGTCCAACGTAGACGTGGTCCTTCGTCATTGAGGGCGTGTTCTCCGTGCGCTGAAAAGCTGGGGCTGGTAGTCTGTCCATCAGAGTGATGATGTTGACCCAGACCTGGTCGCCCCTCCCGTTTCTCAGTCGCACCTGAGTGGCCGCCATGCCCCAGACCAAGCTTGGAATAGCGTTGCTTGGATAAGTGTCCAGGTTCCAGAACAATAAGAGCCAATTCCGATGGCACACTCCACTTTGGTCCGCTACGTCTGCCACGAGCTTTACGCAACTTCCATATCATTTGTCTGACCATGACTGAGGCCGTGATCTCCATGTTGTGGTTGCGACGCTTGATCGCGGCATCCTCGTCTAGGAAGTTCTTTAGCATCTCATTCATTTCAGGTATGTAGGTCGCTTCCATGCCTCCGTCCGATCCTCGTTGTGCTAGGTGCCCCATTCAGCTCGTCCAGCGATGGCTTGCACGAAGGAATCGTACTGTAGCGCCTATTCTTCACACCAGTTGATCGGCCAGAGAGTAGTCGTGCCAGCTTGTGTACTTCAGCCTGCTGCCCTAAAGAACGCGCCTCCCGTAGCTCTTTGATGGAGGCGCTCGCGGCGTGCAGCTCGGCGACGACGAGCCCAACTTCGAAGCTGGGATGATGTGCGTTTTATCTTCGCCAGGACATCAAGATACTCGTCAGTTAAGTCAGGAAGATGGCCACAATAATTCCAATACCCAGCTGCCTCGAGTCGGTGTAGTTTGCGTTGTCTTACCAAGGATGAACGTTCTTGCTGCAATAGATGTTCTGCTGTATCCGTGGATTTCGGCTCCAATGAAAATGTCAGAGTCAAACCTCTTGTACGGTCTTCGCCCGGGAGGTATAAAATTCATCAGTGTGTTGATGTTGTGCGGCACATTCCGTGAAGAAATCAGCTTGTGTCTGCATAGCTCGTTCCAACTCCCGATGGAAATCCTCCCGTCCTGTGCCCGTCTGGAGTGCCCTCGATAACTTCTGGAAGTCCCATCGTTCTTTTGGCACCAGGGGAGTCGGGATGGGGATCTCGTACTTCATGTCAAGAACCACTGGAACGTGATCTCGGGGAGTGCTCTTTGGTATGAGTTGTAGGCTTCGTCCTGCCTGCCATGCGACATTACAATGTCTTATACCTGGTCCCAGGCCCTTCGGGATGGCGAAGACGTCCAGAGTGGCTTTGTCTCCCTGGGCTCCGTAGTAAGTGGGTCCTGAATTTGGCCAAAACGTCCCTGGTGACATAAATCCGAGGTCTATAAGCATGTTCGAACAAATCTCTCCCGCGGGGCCATTTGGTCGAAGATGATGGAGCCCCAGGAGGTCTTGATCTGTATCTACTGGTGTTCCATCTTCCCAGAGCCCAAATCCAGAGTTGATGTCTAGGACGCATATCGGGGTACTCCTCGCTCGTGTTTGTTCGAGTCTCTGTCGCATATATGTCATGACCGTCGTCGCCGCCTGTATATGAGCTCGCGTTCTGTGTCCGCTCGCATAGGTCGGTGGGGGTATGCGCATATTGTTGTAATGTCTATGTGTCCACTTTTGATTCGTATTTCGCCACATCTGCCTGCAATACTCCGGGGGCCAGCATGTACAGCATACACATGTTGACGTTTGAGATGACGACTTAATACTATGCACACCCCCGCGCTACTGTTACTGAAGGGAGCTCGTTGCCATCCAAAGTGTATCGCTACAAACTTGTTTCCAATATTCTCGGTGTGATAGTCTCGGCCTGACCACTCTTTCACCCTCGTCCCTGGCAAGAAAATCAGGTCGCAATTCATGGTCTCTGCGATCTCAAACGGCCTGCGGACACGAGGGAGAGGGGGGTGTAGAGGGCGATACGTAAGATACCCACCATCAGCCTCCCGTATAGGCTCGCCAGATGCATCGGTGGGCGAGCCAGGCGGGTAAAGGTGAGTGAACGCTAGGTCTCTCTGGGACCTTTGGGGTCGCTGCCGCTGCTGAATGTTGGTTCGGGAGGAGATGGCAGCTGGAGGAGGAGGAGGAGGAGGAGGAGGAGGAGGGGGGGGAGGAGGGGGAGAGGGGGCAGGGAAGAAGGGGAGCTAGGCGCGATAGCGCCATCCCTGACATCCTACTCCTGCCACCCATCCCTTCCCACTGCGTTGGTGTTGTCTCTATCCGCGGACGCGTGTCGGAGCGGACCTGGAACTCAAAAGACCCCACGGGCATGAGCCGGAGAATGAGCAGAAGGAAGTGGAGGACGAGGACGGCGGAGGACGAGGACGAACAGCAGCAGAGGAACTGGAATGGAAGGAGTGGGAAAGAGGTCACGACACGGCGTGCCCGCGAGGGCCCAAGCCACGGCGGGCTGGCGAGGCGCCACGACGACGACGACGACGACGACGACGACGACGACGACGACGACGACGACGGCGACGACGACGACGACAACGAGGACGAGGACGAGGACGAGGACGAGGAGGACTAGCAGGAACTGGCATTGAATCGAAGGAGTGCAGAGGTCCTCGTCGTCCGTCTCCGCGCTGGCGCTGCGCGGGCTCCCCCCCGCGGTGGCGAGGCGCGGCCTCGGCGGCCAGGGCCTCAGGCGCTCGGGGCCTCGGTCGCGCGACGCACCGCACGCGGGGGCGCTCAGGGCGTCGGAACGCGACGTCGTGACGACGTCGCCGTCGTCCTCGCCGTCACCGTAGACGCCGTCGCCGTCGTCGTCGCCGTCGTCCTCGCTCCTCCTCCAACTCCGACTCCAACTCCAACCTCCAACTCCTCCTCCTCCTCCTCCTCCTCCTCCCTCCTCCTCCTCCTCCTCCTCCTCCTCCTCCCTCCTCCTCCTCCTCCTCCTCCTCCTCCCTCCTCCTCTCCTCCTCCACCTTGAAGCCTGGAAGCTGCGAGCACTGGGGTCGGTATAAGACGCTGTCCTCCTCCCCCTCCCAGGTGGCCTTCGCCGGTTAGCAGAGGCAGAAGAGAAGTAGCGCTTGAGTACCTCCTCCTCCTCCTCTTCCTCCTCCTCTTCCTCCTCCTCCTCCTCCTCCTCCTCCAACCCCTCCTCCTCCTCCTCTCCTCCTCCTCCTCCTCCTCCTCCTCCTCCTCCTCCTCCTCCTCCTCCTCCTCCAGCACTTCACAAACGAAAGAAGCAGCACCACATACACCACCAGGAGAAGGGGTGAGGTCGTCAGCGTCGGAGTTGTCGTCGGCCGCCCCGCCGCCCGCCGCACCGCCGGCCGCCGGGAGAAGCGCAGAGGGGAGGGGAGGTGGGATGTTGGAGGAATGCCCGGCCCGACCCTCGTCCTCCCCATCCCTCACGGGGGGGGGTGGGGGGGCGGGAAAGCGACGAGAGGAGCAAACGGGTTTTGAAGGGGCTCGCGGTGGGGGGCTACGGAGAGGGCTCTGCAGGGCTCTGGGGGTATACTGGGGGGCTCCCAAGAATCCCAGGAAGGAAGGAGGTACCCTTGAAAGAAGCAGTGTCGAGATTGTGGTTGGGAGTGTAGTTCAGATGATGCCAAGACTCCATCCTAACAAGCTTTTAGATGCACCCACTACACGTGCACCCACAACATGTGCATACATACACACTAGAACCACGCGCGCGCTTCGTGCGCGCTCAGGTTCTAGGACAATCCAAGCCAACCATACAGTATCGGATAAGAATAACATCATGCCACAAGGATCACCATAAGGGAGCGTACTTCCAGATTGACGCATCGGGAATCGATGAATGCCCTAAGAGATCTTGCTGCTCTGAGCAGATACACCGAGCAGCTGCCCGAAGGTGGTAACTTTTGGGAGTCGCAGAAAGGATGACGCGAATGAGAGACGAGGAGAAAGGAGGCGGATGTGAAACGGGAGTCGCAGGAACCCCAAGAGCAGGAGAGAGAGAGAGAGCAGGAAGCGACGGACGGGGGGACCGGAAACGCACTTTGAGCAAAGGGAGGGGGGGTCGGACTTGAAAAAAACGATGTGAGTGAATTCCTTGCTCCCCAACCATACTGTGGTGTTCGGTCCTCGTTTTGAAGAGACAGCGACCCGCGCCACCTCCCGCCCTCCTCCCCCCCAGAGCTACCGCCCGCATGCGTCCGCCACGCCCAGAACAGCGCTTCGTGGCCCCATAAGGAGCTCCACCAAAGGTCCCAATGCTACCGCCCGTATGCGTTCGCCACGCCCAGTACAGCGCTTCGTGGCCCGGTAGGGGGCTCCACCGAAGGTCCCAATGCTACCGCCCGCATGCGTCCCCCCCACCCAGTACAGCGCTTCGTGGCCCCACAGGGAGCTCCACCGAAGGTCCCAGCGCTACCGCCCGCATGTGTCCCCCCCCCCCCCACCCAATACAGCACTTCGTGGCCCCATAGGGAGCTCCACCAACGGCCCCAGTGCTACCACCTGCGTGCGCTCCCCCCACCCAGTACAGCGTTTCGTGGCCACGGCGCCAATGGCAAAGTCCGCATGCATCCCCCTCACCCAGTACAGCGCTTCGTGGCCCATAGGGAGCTCCACCGAAGGCCCCAGTGGCAAAGTTCGAATGCGTTTCCCCCACCGAGTACAGCGTCTCGTGGCCCCATAAGGAACTCAACCGAAGGCCCCAGGAGCACCGTGTGCATGCGTCTCCCCCACCCAGTGCAGCGCTTCGTGGCCCCACAGGGAGCTCTACCGAAGACCCCAGTGGAACAGTCCGCATGCGTCCCCCCCACACAGTACAGCGCTTCGTGGCCCCGTAGGGAGCTCCACCGACGGCCTCAATGGCACCGTCCGCATGCGTCTCCCCAACCAATACAGCGCTTCGTGGCCGCATGCGGAGACCTACTGGAGGCCCCAGTGGAACAGTCGGTATGCGTTTACCCCACCCACTACAACGTTCCGTGGCCCATAGGGAGCTCCACCGAAGGCCCCAGTGGCAAAGTTCGCATGCGTCTCCCTCACCCAGGTTACATTTCGTGGCCCATAGGGAGCTCCACAGAAGGCTCCACCGATGACGATACCCACAACTGCGGAACTCACAACTGCACATGGTTGGGTCCTTCGCCAGGCAAATTTTTTCAAGCTGGCTCTGGATCGCCCCAAGAGGCTTCCGAGAGTCTCCCACGAGCTCCGCGGAAGCTATCGAGAGGCCAGAAACGTTGCAAAACTATGAAGCATGAGCGATTTGTGTGTGTGTTCTCGCACTCCCGCACCCGATGCGCTTCCGAGGCTTGCGCATGCCCGCAAAAGCCGCTCGGGACGCCTCTTGGGGGCATCGTGGAGCTCTCCTGGGGGCCTCTTGGGAGCTCTTGAGGGCCTCTCCGGGCCATCTTCGGCGCTGGGTGCCTCCGGGGCGGCTCGTGGGAGCTCTTTGGGGCCTGCTCGGAGCGTCTTTGGGGCCTCGGTGGTGCCCCTTCGGGCGTCATGGGAACCTGTTGCGACCTCTTGGGGTCACTTCGCGCCGCTCGGGACGCCTCTTGGGGGCCTCTTGGAGCTCTCTTGGGGGGCATGCTCAAGCCTCGGAAGCGTGGCGGAAGCGGAAGTGGGAGAAAGAGGGGTTCCCCATAACTCTTGGGGGACTCTTGGACGCGTCTTGGGGCGATCTTGAGTGCCTTGGGCGCTTCCAGAGCCGTCAGGGGGCCCGCTTGGACATCCTCCTGGGCTGTCTCGGGGGCGTCCTGGGCTGCCTTCAGGCCCTCCGGGAGCTTCCTTGGACGCCCGGTAGGGTGGTACCAGGGATTTGCCGCCGATGGTAGCGGAGTTGGCGAAGCCAGGGGGGGGCGGCGGCATTATTTTATATTATATATGTCTCTCGATACGCACACATACAAGAAATGATGACGACAAAAAAGCGAACACAAGTGAATCATCTCAACACTGCTGCTACTAATGGTGCTGCTCACTACTGCTGGACCACCACGAAGGAGGAAGCTGCGCCCAGGGACAGGGAGCCCCTCCCAGCACGAAGGCCGCCGAGCTGGGATCTCTCCCCCTCTCACTCGGCTGCACGCAAGAGTGACCCTAGGTAAAGCGAGACCTTTCGTGCGTGGATCAAGAGGGCGCAAGGTGGCCAAATCCAAGCGGGCAGGCAGCCACTATCGCTATGTCGGGCGTGTCCCCCTACATGGTGATTTTCGACGAAAAATAAAGAAATACCAAAAAAAAAAAATCAAAAAACAATAATCCAAAAATAGTCGGGGGACTATCTTTTGAATATTTGTTGACCTTTTCGGGGGGTGTTCCTGGGTATTTGTAATTTTCCGTCGAAAATCCTCCTGTAGGGGGACAGGCCCGACATAAGGTTTGGATGCGCGGTAAGAATGCAAGGGTCTTGGAAGGCCATTTCCAAGCTTTTCGAGCGGGGCGCTGCCAGCGAAAGTCGCTGACCATGCACCGAGAAGGCAAAGATGCAGAGGTACCCTTGGGAAGCTTGCCCATCCTGACTGTGCGGGTTTACTCTAGGTGCAGTCGACTCTCGCGCTGGCCCTGCCCCATGGTCAGGAGAGCCCAGAACCGAATCGATAAGTCGGATCGGCGATCGACACGAATCGGATCGGCGGAAACCGGCAGCCGCGTCGGGAAAAGTCGAATCGGCGGAAATCGGCAGGATAGCATGCGTCCGAGAAGACATCGGAACCCGAATCGGAATCCGAAGTCCCATCGAATCGGAATCGGAAGCCATCGAAATCGAATCGCATCGAATCGGAGGAATCGAAATGAGCCCTGCATGGCCGGATGGAGCAGGGCACCCCGCGGGCGTGCCGCGGGCGTGCTGCGCCGCGCGGAGGGCCCGGAACAAGAGGGGCGGGGCCGACGGGGCGCGGGCCGCCCGAGACGCCGCGCACATTCAGGTCTCCGAGCGGGGACGCGCCGGTCATGCTGATCCTGGCACTCGGGTGCTGTCGTGGGGGGAGAGGATGAGAGAGAGAGAGACACACAGAGAGAGATTTCGTCGCCCTACTGTCTGTCTCATCAACGAAGACGAAGCTCGAGATCTCGGCAGGCGCCTCAAGAGAAGGGGGCAGGACGACTTGCTTGACTTCGACGAGAACAGTTTTTTCCTGTGGGGGCGAAAGCCCAGGCATCCGGCTGCGTCAAATTTCTCGGCGCATGGGCCCCGAGGGTCGGGACACTTCCATGGGGCGGGTTTTTTGAGTTCTGAGTCAATTTGTTGTTGACGGTCCCGAGGCCCGGCGAGGGCCCCAAAAACCGCCTGCTCCAATCTTTTTGGAGTGTCAGATCTCTGGGAGGGTCGGATAACAAGGGGCAGGGTAGAGAATCAGCTCACGTGGCTGGTGTTCCTGGCGCCTCCTGGCGCCAGGAGGCGCCCGGTATCGAGAGGTGGGCCTGGCGGCGGGGCGGACACCAGCTGCATGAAGCAGATTTCGTACCCCCCCCCTTTCCCTATCCTACCCTGTCGCGCAGGCCGATGTTGCCAGACCCTTGGGTACGGCAGGTTCGTGTCGTGCACTTTTCGGCGCTGCTTCCTGACACCGCGGGGATCGTTCAACCTTGGACAATCGGCCGTCTCCGAAACGTCAGATCGATCAACATTGACCAATTCTGGGTCGCTGGAGGCATTCAACGTTGAACGCTGGCGGCGGGGTCGCGGCTGGTCGACACGACGCGAACCTATCGTGCCCCAACCAACCATCGAACCTCCTGAATCGATGGGGAGTGGGGGTAGGGCTCGGGCTTCGCCAAAGCGTTCGACGGATTCCGAACCCGATCACCGCCGCCTATCGAGTTGCCTGAATCGTTGATCGGCGAGGGTAGGGTCCAGGGAGGGGCCTCCCAGATGGGGTCCGAGTAGGTGGAGACGGAGGATCGCGCCGCATCGCCAATGCAACGCCAATGCATCGGTGATGCGTCGGCGATGCACAGGCGGTGCATCGTCGCCGACGTGGAGAACACCGACTTGCATCTCGAGCCGCATCGGCGATGCATCGGCGATGCGGCGCGAGCCTTCGACCCCATCGACTCCAACCTGGTCGGGTGTTGCCAGACCCTTGGTAGGCAACTCCGAGGAGGCCTCGTGGGAACGATCCAGGGCTATTCAGACCGCTCGAGGGGTCGCTCAGCCGCCAAAGGCTGGATAGGCCCCAAGATTTGGCCAAATTGAGTGGGAGAAAGCCGGATTAAGCGGGATGAGGCCCTGCGCCTAACTTCGCGCTTCGCGCTGCGCGAAGCGCGAAGCGCGAACACCTTCGCGCTCTCGCGCCGCCCCCCAGGGGAGAAGAGGAGGAGCAGGAATCGGAGCCGAACCGCGAAGCGCGAAGAGCTTCGCGCCCTCGAAGGCGCCCTTGGGGATCGGACGGGTCTTCAACCGCGAGACACATCCGGTGCCGATGCTCCGCATGGCCTCTCAGGAGCTGCAGCCGAGAGGCCCGCACGCCGAGGATGCGAGGGCCCCGGGAGGCCCCGTCGACACCCTGCGAGTGGGGCGCGGCCAGCGAAAGCGGCCGAGAGGATGGGCCGACGGGGAGTGGATGCAAGTTGGGGCCAACATGGAACGCTGCTCATCCTTGCTGTGCCGGTTGATTGCACGCCAAGGAGGGAGAAGGTAAGAGGGGGAGGGAGGAGGGAGGAGGGGGAGGGAGGAGGGAGGAGGGAGGAGGGAGGAGGAGGAGGGAGGAGGGAGGAGGGGGAGGAGGGGGAGGGGAGGAGGGGGGAGGCAGGAGGGAGGAGGGGGGAGGGAGGAGGGAGGAGGGAGGTAGGAGGGAGGAGGGAGGAGGGAGGAGGGAGGAGAGAGGAGGGAGGAGGGGGGAGCCCTGGAGCCGCGCAGCGAGAGGCAGAACACGCCGCCGCCGGACGTCTCGGGAGGCCTGCGGGGCCGAGCGCTGCCGCCGACGCTCCGGGGCAGAGCACCTTCCCGACGCAGGCGCGGCATGTCCTCCTACAGGGGGCATGTCCCGTAGGCCCGACGCAGGCGCGGCCTGCGGCGTGTCCCGCAGGCCCGACGCAGGGCCGCACTTCCCGACCTAATGCTACTCCCGACTTCCCGATCGTGCCGCGGCTTCGTCTGGGGAGACCAAGAGGTACCGATGCCGCTGTTCCTCGAACCTGACCTCTCTCGGGGTGCGATCTGGCCAGGATTTCGGAGCGGATCCAGCGTCGGCGACGAGGGCCCCCCAGGGGGCCCAAAAAAGGGGAAACGGGCGAGGGTGGAGCGGTGAGGGTGCCGTTTCTTCCTCTGATCGTCGGCGTTGGCTTCTGACCTCGCGTGGATCGTTCGATATCGGCGCATTCCTGGCCACTGGTGGCGATCAACCTTCAACGCGCGCAATGGAGTCGCCGCCCCATCAACACGGCGAGAGCACCGAGTCACACGAAGCGAATTGGGGCCAACTGCTGAGGGAGCAGCGTCGGTCTCGGACTTCGACCGCGATAAAATCGATCAGGACTGCCGACTACTCCCCCACTGAGGAGCATGGCAACCCCATGGTGCCGAGCGCCGACTCTGGAGCAGGAAGAAAGAGGAAGAAGTACAGTCGGACTCGATTCGAGAGGGCACGCGGCAGGACACAAGACCAGTCCGAGGGCCACGTTGCCGCAGGAACGTAGTTGGCATGGGTCGCGAGACAAAGGACATAAGGGTACCCTTGACTTGGCTGGGTCGACCTACTGATCAAGGCCAACTGTAACAGGGACATGTGCCCCTGGCTCCTCGGTGACCTGGGCCACGGGTGTCCCCAGTCTTCCTGGGGAAGCCCTCACTGGACCAGAAAGCGAACGACGCCACCCCACCTACGGCCCCACGGGCCGTAGCGTATACCAGGAAATCTGGCGTGGGTTTTTGCATGATATACACTACGGCCCCCGATGGGCCGTAGCGCAGAATGGGAGGCCGTAGGTGGGGTGGTGTCGTTTGTTTTTGCCCGACTCATGGCCTCCAGAACACCCCTCGCTAAGCCAGGAGGGCTCCTGACTGGCCTGGGAAGCCCGGAGCACCCTGGGACAGGACCGGTCCGGGCAGTTTCCGTGCCACGGCGCCCGCGGGAGCCAGAGCCAACGGATTCATCTTGAGCGCCAGCCAGGGCGTGTGTTGTGTGTGTGTGTGCGTTGTGCTGTGCTGTGTTGTGGTGTGTTGTGTTGTGCTGTGTTGTGTTGTGTTGCGTTGCGTTGCGGTGCGCTGCGTTGTGTTATGTTGTGTTGTGCTGTGCGGTGTTGTGTTGTGCTGTGTTGTGTTGTTTTGTGTTGTGTTGCGTTATGGTGTGTTGTGTTGTGTTGTGTTGTGATGTGTGTGGTGTGTGTTGTGTGGTGTGTTGTGTGGTGTGCTGGCCTGTGTTGTGTTATGGTGTGTTGTGTTGCGTTGTGTTGTGAATTGTGTGTTGTGTGTTGTATGTATAGTGTTGCGTTGCGTTGCGTTGCGTTGCGTTGTGCTGTGTTGTGTTGTGATGTGTTGTGTTGTGTGGTGTTGTGCTGTGCTGTGCTGCGCTGTACTATGTTGTGTTGTGTTGCGTTGTGATGTGGTGTACTATACTGTGTTGTGTTGTGTTGTGTTGTGTTGTGTTGTGCTGTGTTGTGTTGTGTGCTGTGTGTTGTGCTGTGTGTTGTGTGTATTGTGTTGTGTTGTGTTGTGGTGTGTTGTGTTGTGTTGCGTTGTGTTATGTTGTGTTGGGTTGTGTTGTGTTGTGCTGTATTGTGTGTTGTGTTGGGTTGTGTTGTGTTGTGTTATGTCATGGTGTACTGTGCTGTGTTGTGCTGTGATGTGCTGTGTTGTGTTGCGTTGTGTTGCGTTGTGGTGCGATGTTGTGTGTTGTGTTGTGTGGTGTGTGGAATGTGGCGTGTGGTGCGTTGTGTGGTGTGTTGTGCTGTGTTATGTTATGTTGTGTCGTGTTGTTTTGTGTTGTGGTGCGTTGCGTCTGTTGCGAATTGTGTCTTGCGCGTGTTGTCTTGCAGTGCGTTGCGTTGTTCTGCTATGTGGTGATGTGCTGTGATGTGCTGTGTAATGTGGTGTTGTGATGTGCTGTGCTGCGCTGTGTCGTGTTGTGTTGCGTTGTGTTGTGCTGTGATGTGTTGTGTTGTGATGTGCTGTGCTGTGCTGTGCTGTGTTGTGTTGTGTTGTGTTATGTTGTGGTGTTGTGTTGTGTTGTGTTGTGTTGTTTTGTGTTGTGTTGTCGTTTGTGTTGTGCATTGTGCGTTGTGTGGTGTGTGCTGTGTTGTGTTGTGTGTGCTGTTGTGGTGTGTTGCGTTGTGTTATGTTGTATTGCGTTGAGTTGTGTTGTGCTGTGTTGTGTGCTGTGTTGCGTTGTTATGTGTTGTATTGTGTTGTGTTATGTTGTGCTGTGCTGTGTTGTGTTGCCTTGTGTTGTTTTGTGATGTGGTGACTTGTGTTGTATTGTGTGGTGTTGTACTGTGTGTTGTGTTATGTGATGTTTATGCGTTGTGTTGCGTGCTTCTGGTGCATCCCCTGTTCGGCAGATGCAATATCTCAGCGCCGCGCGATCTAGGCCGGCACGCGCGCCTGTCGCCCGACCTGCCTTGCGCCGCGACGCCAACAATTTGTTCTCTGTGTTTTTCGGTCGATCCCGCATGGGTGGATTTAGCGTTTCCTCGCCGCGTGCATTGCTGGCGCGCGCGCTCGGTTGACCTGTTCTACGCCACGCCGCCGCCAGCGTGGCCGCCACGCAGAAACGCGCGTGCATGTGCGGGCGCGCGTGCGCGAGCGCATGCGCGTGCGTCTGAGGGTCCGCGCGCGTCCGTGCATGCGTGCTTGTGTGCTTGCGGGCGCGTGCGTATGCGTGTGCGCGTGAATGCGCATGCGCATGCGCGCGCGCATGCCCGTGCGCGTGCGCGCGCGCGTGAGTGCGTGAGTGCGTGCGCGCGTGCGTGCGCGTGTGCGGGTGTGCGTGCGTGCGCATGTGTGCGTGCGTGTTTGCGAACGTTCGCGCGCGTGCGTGCGCGTGCGTGTGCGCGCGGGTGTGCGTGCGCACGTGCGCGAGCGCGTGCGCGTGCGCGCGCGTGTGCGCGCGCGTTCGCGCGCGTTCGCGCGCACGCGCGCGTGCGTGCGCGCGCGCGTGCGTGCGTGCGTGTACGCGCGCGTGCGTGCGTGAATGTGCGTGTGCACGTGTGCGCGTACGTGCGTGTGTATCTACGTCTGTGTATGTGTCTGTGTTTGTGTGTGTCTGTCTGCCTGTGTTTGTGTGTCTGTGCGTGTCCGCGCGTGTCTGTAGACGTCTGTGCGGTATGTGTGCGCGTCTGTTTGTCTTTGTGCGTGTCTGCATGTGTCTGTGTGTGTGTCTGCGCGCGCGTCTGCGTGGTCGCCGGCGCGCGCGCATCTGCGCGTGTCTCTGTGCGCGGGGGCGCTTGCGCGCGCGTGGGCATGCGCGCGCGTGACTGCGCGAGTGCGCGCGTGCGCGCGCGGGAATGCGCGGTTGCGCCCATGCGTGAGCGCGCGGGAGCGCGGCTCCCAACGCCTCGCCGCCAGCGCAGTCACTCTGCCGAGCCGCAGATGAAAAAGTGCAGGCGTTCGGGCGCGCGGGCGCGGGTGTGTCGGCGCGGGAGCTCGGGGGCGCGTGGGTGCGGGTGTGGGTTCGTGTCGGCGTACGTCAGTGCGTGCGCGCGGGTCTGCGCGCGCGGGGCATGCGCGCGCGTGACTGCGCGAGTGCGCGCGTGCGCGCGCGCGGGAATGCGCGGTTGCGCCCATGTGTGAGCGCGCGGGAGCGCGGCTCCCAACGCCTCGCCGCCAGCGCAGTCACTCTGCCGAGCCGCAGATGAAAAAGTGCAGGCGTTCGGGCGCGCGGGCGCGGGTGTGTCGGCGCGGGAGCTCGGGGGCGCGTGGGTGCGGGTGTGGGTTCGTGTCGGCGTACGTCAGTGCGTGCGCGCGGGTCTGCGCGCGCGGGCATATGCGCGCGTGCGCGGGTGTGCGCGTGCGCGTGAGTGGGCGCGCGGGCGCGGGTGTGCGCGCGCGGTGCGCGCGTGTGCCTGCGCGCGCCTGCGCGTCTCTGCGCGCGCGGCCGCGCGTGCGCGCGCGCGGGCGCGTGCGAGGTTATGCGCGCGGGCGTGCGCGGGCGCGCGGGCGCGTGGGTGCGCGCGCGCATGCATGCATGCACGCGCGCGCGCGTGCGTTCGTTCGTTCGTTGCCCGCCCAATGCGGAAACGCCGTGTCCTCGCGCCGTCTCGCACCAGGCTGCGCGCCGCGGCAAGCAATGCTGGCCGCAGTGGATGAGGGGGGCCCACGCGGGCGGGGCACGGTCCACTGCGCAACAACCCAACGCCAAACTAAACATCCCGCGCGCTGCTCTTGCCGCACCCATCCGCCTGGACCAGCCCCGTCCTGGCGCTGGGCACACCGACACTCACGCGACTTGCGAGCAACACGCGCCACCTTGGTGGTTGCCACTGTCGGTTTTTGGGGGGTGGACCAGCCTGTTCCGGGTGGCGTGATGGGGCGGCACCTGCACCGCGCGACCCCGCACAGGGCTCACGGTAGCCTGTGGGAACGCGGGCGGGCGAGAGAGCGTGTTTGAGCCACACGTGCGTACGTGTGTGAAAAGGGAAGAGGGGAAAGGGGCCACGAAGAGGTTCAGCCCGCCGGCCACGGCCATACCATCACACCTGAAAAAGGGCGGAAGGGGAAGGGAGGGGAGGGGAGGAAGGGTGAGGGAGGAGAGGAGGAGAACAGGCCAGAAGGAGGGAACGGGACGAGGAGGCAGAAGGCCAGGCTGGAGGCGGAGAAAAGGGGAGGGGGAGGGGAGGGAGAAGACGACGAGAACGACTAAACGGGGGCCAGGGCCAGCGCTCCGAACACGGAGAAAACAGCTCCGGGTGCCACCCCAATACACAGCACAGCGCAGCACAGCGCAGCACGGCCGCGTGTGCGCGTGTGTGGCAGCACATCACAGCACAGCACAGCACATCACGACACAGCACATCATCGCAAAACACATCACATCACAGCACATCACAGCACATCACAGCACACGCCGCTTGGCGTGTGCATGTGTGTGTGTGTCTGTGTGAAAATGTGTGTATGCGTGTGTGTGTGTGTGTGTGTGTGTGTGTGTGTGTGTGTGTGTGTGTGTGTGTGTGTGTGTGCGTGCTTGCGTGTGTGTGGTGTGTGTTTTTGTGTGTACTTGTGTGTGATTGTGTGTGTGTGTCTGTGTATGTGTGTGTGTGTGTGTGTCTGTGTGTCTTCGTGTGTCTTCGTGTGCCTGTGTGTTTGTGTGTGCGTTGTGTGGGTGTGCGAGCGTGTGCGTGTGATTGTGTTCGTGCGTGCTTGCGTCTGTGTCACGCATGCGCGACGAGGGTCTTGTCGCGAGGCTGGCTCCAAATCAGTGGGTGGCACTGGGCTGGTGGCGCGCAGGGTACGAGACCATACCGCTTACGCCACCGCTGAGCACCGAACTCGAGGAAAGAAAGAGCAGGCGAAGGGTAGGGAGGACAGGCAGGGAAGACGGGAGGGAGGGAGGGAGGGAGCGAGAGAGCAGGAGCATGATGCAGGAGGGTGGAGGAGGAGAATGGGCAGGAGGAGGGGCAGAGCCCCAGGGGGGTGGGGGGTAGCAGAACCTGCTGTGAAGCGAGGCTGGAGGCGGCGCCGCGGCTCCTGAGGATCTCTCTGGAATCGGCGGAAGCGCCCATCACTGCGGCGGCAACAGCGCCTGGCGCCGCGCCACAGCACCACCACCCTCCTCCACCTCATCCTCCTCATCGTCCTCCTACTCATCCTCTTCCTCCTCCTCATCATCAGCATCATCATCCTCCTCCTCCTCCTCCTCCTCCTCCTCCTCCTCCTCCGCCTCCTCCTCCTCCTCCTCCTCCTCCTCCTCCTCTCCTCCTCCCTCTCCTCATCATCATCATCATCATCATCATCATCATCATCATCCTCATCCTCATCATCATCATCATCATCATCATCATCATCATCATCATCATCATCATCATCATCATCATCATCATCATCCTGATCCTCATCCTCATCCTCATCCTCATCCTCAACCTCATCCTCATCCTCATCCTCCTCCTCATCATCATCAGCATCACCATCATCAGAATCAACATCGTCCTCCTCCACCTCCTCGGCATCACCAGCATCATCAGCATCATCATCAGCATCATTATCATCAGCATCATTATCATCAGCATCAGCAGCATAATCATCATCCTCATCAGCATCATCATCATCAGCAGCATCAGCATCATCAGCATCAACATCAGCATCAGCATCATCATTCTAATTAGCATTCGCATCAGCATCAGCATCAGCAGCAGCATCAGCACCAGCATCAGCATCATCAGCATCATCATCGTCATCATCGTCATCATCAGCATCATCATCAGCATCGTCGTCACCACCATCATCATTATATTCATCATCATCAGCATCATCATCAGCATCAGCATCAGCATTACCATCAGTATTACCATCATCATCATCATCATCACCACCATCATCATCAGCAGCAGCAGAAGCATTATCATCACAGCCACCACCACCATCATAATCATCAGCATCAGTATTAGCATCAGCATCAGTAGCACCTCCCTCATCATCCTCACCATCATCATCAACCTCATCCGCATCCTCATCATCAGCATCAGCACCATCATCATCAGCATCAGCAGCATCATCACCACCATCATGATTATCGGCATCGTCATCAGCGTCAGCACCATCATCATCATCATCATCATCATCATCATCAGCAGCAGCATCAGCATCATCATCAGCATCATCTTCCTCGTCATCATCCTGAGCATCATCATCGTCTGCATCATTATCGTCAACATCAACATCATCATCATCATCATCATCATCATCATCATCATCATCATCATCATAATCAATATCATCGTTATCCTCATCACCGTCATCATCACCATCGTCATCAGCACCAGCAGAAGCAGCAGCATCATCATGCTCGCGAACAGCATCATCAGCATCATCAGCAGCATAATCAGCACCAGCATCAGAATCCACATCATCATCATCACCAGCATCAGCATCGTCATCATCATCTCCTTCGTTTCTTCTTCTTCACCATCATCATCGTCATCATCATCATCATCATCATCATCATCATCATCATCATTGTCATCGACGTCGTAGTCGTCATCGTCCGCATCCTCATCATCCTCGTCATCAACATGAGCGGCATCCGTATCACCATCCTCACCACCATCCTAACAAGCAACTGAGTCATCACACTCCTCCTCCTCCTCCTCCTCATCATCATCATCAGCAGCAGCAGCATCAACATCATTCGCAGAATCCCCATCATCATCAGCATCAACATCAGCAGCAGCATCAGAATCATCAACGCCGTCATCAGCATCCATCAGCAGCAGCATCTGTTCATCATCGTCATCGTCATTATCAGTATCGTCGTCATCATCACCACCATCATCATCAGCAGCTGCACATCGTCATCAAAGTCAGCATCAGCATAATAAGCATTATCATCCTCATCCTCATCATCATCATCATCATCATGCTCAGCAGCCTTCTCATCATCATCATCTTCATCATCAGCATCATCATCATAAGCATCATTATCATAGTTGTCGTCGTCATCGTCAACCTCATCATCATTAGCAGCATCATCCTCAGCATCATCGTTATTGTCATCATCGTCATCATAATCATCAGCAGCAGCGTCATCATCAATGCCATCCACATCCCCATCCCTATCCCGACCCTTATCCTTGTCCTTCGCCCTGATCCACATCACCATCCTCATACACATCACCCTATGCTGCTGCTGTAGCGGGCAAGCCACACGAAGACAATGCTAAGCCACATGGTGAACGTTACATGTTTGTCCTGCCAACGTTTTGCATCAAGCTTTCCGCAACCGGGGGAGGCCAGGTCCCGTACCAGACAAGAGGGGCTAGACCAGATCAGCACCCGTGGGCTACGCCCGACCAAACCGAATAACATCGCACGTGGACGTACAAGACCACACGAGACACAGCAAGGCCATGCACATAAGACCACGCAATACGAACAACAATCTGATCGTTAGATGAATTGGTGGGGGAAGGCAAGGCGGTGACAAGAAGATATCGCCTGCTACAGGACTTCGAAAGGATCCGCAAGGAGTCCGTCGTCCTTTTCACTTCCCCTGCCCTCCTCCTCCCGCCCCTGGTTCCCTGCCTCCCCAACCCACCCTCTCCAGAAGAAGTCCTCCCTGCCGCGTGTGGCCAGGGCGGGCCAGGTGCTTCGCTCAAGACCTTCCCCATGCCATATCCAACAGTTGCGCAGACGGACGGGCGGGTCGTCTGCAGAACAGGGCGTTCCTCTCGGCGCCGCGCACGACCGCCTTCTAAGCACTCCAGCAAACGGCACGGGCGGAGGGCGGGCCTGTCTCCACAAAGGCGGCCTCGCTTCACACGCCCAGGAAAGATAGATTGAAGGGGCCCCAGAGCACACAAACAAATACACACAAATAAAATGATTCCCCATATCTTCTCATATGTTCTGGGCTTTCGTCTTCCACCCCACCTCCCATAGTTTCGCATATTTTCCTGGGGGTCGACGATGAACTGTGCCTGCGTGTTCCTTCCCCTCCTGATAGGTGGGGAGACCGTTCTCAAAATGGAGCCGCCCTGGCGCCGGACACGCCCCATCTGGACGGACGCAGAGCGGCCCTGCCTCGAAGACGGGGGCTCTCGCCGGAGCGGTCACGATGCAGCACCACAGAATGCAGAAGTGACCAGAGCTGTGCAGGCTCAGGGTGGTTCCGTTCCCACACGGGGAACTCGCTGCAGGTTTCGCTCGAGTCTTCAACCATAAGTCGAAGAAGGTGCAGCGACTACGCGGATGGAGGGCGGCTCCTTTCAACAGCAGAAGTGACCAGAGCTGTGCAGACTCAGGGTGGTTCCGTTCCCACACGGGGCGCTCGCTTCAGGTTTCTTTCCCTCGAGTCTTCAACCGTAAGTCGAAGAAGGTGCAGCGACTACGCGGATGGAGGGCGGCTCCTTTCAACAGCGGAGCTGCCGCTGGGAGCTCGTTTGAACCTGGGAACCGAGCTATACACCGACGCTTTTTGCGTCCTTGCACTGGAAACCCACCAGTTCTTCAGGCCGTATGTGGTCTAGGGTGCTTTGTCTTCCATCTGCCCCTCTTCTCCTTCGAGTTTACTCCTCCCCCTACTCCCTCCCCTGGACCTGGAGGGGGTCCCCCCGAGGGAATGGAGCGTCCAAGGTGGCCCAAGATGGCTCCAAGAGCACCTTGGAGAGCCCAAGATGAGTTCCAAGATGGTTCAAGATATTCCAAGATGCCCAAGATGGCTCCCAAGATGCTCCAAGAGACCCCAAGACCGTTCCAAGGCGGATCCAAGTGGCCGAAGAGCTCCCCAAGAAGGCCCTGAAGAGGTAAAAATCCCTCCAAAACCTAAGGGAAATCCCTGCGGTTTGCTGTCTCGCCTTCTCGCTTCCGATGGCCATCCGAGGCCTCAAGACGGCTCCAAGATGGCCCAAGAAGGCCCCAGGAGAGGCCCAAGAGAGTCCCGAGACGGCCCAAGAGCGCCCAAGAGCGCTCCAAAAGCGCCCCACGAGGCGACGGTTGGGGTTCCCAAGGGGGGGCGCGAATTAGGAAACCACTCTTGTTTCATCGATGTCCTCCAAGATGGCCCCAAGAGTGCATCCAAAGCTCCCAAGACCGGCCCAAGAGGCCCCCCAGAGGCGCCCACACAGCCCCAAGAGGCGCCCAAGAGGCCTCCAAGAGGCTCCCAGGAGGCCCCCAAGAGGCCAAAAGGATCTCCGAGACACCCAAACCGCTCAAAGAAGCCCCTGGGCTCGCCGAGATGTTCCTCCTCCTCCTCCTCCTCTTCCTCCTCCTCCTACTCCTCCTCCTCCTCCTCGTCCTCCTCCTCGTCCTCCTCCCTGTCCACTGTCTAATCCTCCTTCCTCGTCGCCCTCCTCCTCCTTCTCGTCCTCTTCCTTTTTCTCCTCCACCATCTCCTCCTTCTTGGGGTATCGGACGGTTTTCCTCGCCCTCTGTTCTTCTGCATGCTCCCTCACTTCCCTGATCACTTCAACTCCCCTGGGCATCGTTTCTGGATGGGCTGGTGGGGACACGCGAAGCGTCAACACTTTACAAAGGAGAGCGGGTCCGGGAGGATACAGGACCCTGGTGCATAAAGTATCGTTGGTTCTAGGGAAACGGAACAAGCAAATATACACCACAACGCCCCGACTTCGCCCCCGACCCTCAGAAAGTCCCGGGATTGAGAAACAGCCCGACACTGGTAATGTAGATGCTCCAGTTTCCGAAGTTGGTTCGAAGGACGGGGGGTAGCTATTTCAAAACAGAAGTATCGCCTTCCTTGCGGGCCCAGGGGCCGCTCGTCTGTACGAGGGGGGGAAGGCGCTCCGCCCAATGAACAGGAAGGCTCGCAAGGACGAGCGAGGGGACTTGGCGTAAGAGGGTGTCGGCGAAGCACAGCGAATACGTTTTGGGTTTACTCTGGTGCTCCACTGCCTTCTTCCCCCATCTCCTCAACATCCTTCTAATCCCTCTCCAGCCCACCTCCCCTCCCTTCTTCGCCCCTCCCTCTGATCCCCCCTCCCCCCCGCACATTCATCTCATCCTTACCCCTCCTTCCCCCCTCCTCCTCCTCCTCATCATCATATTCCTCCGCCTCCTCCTCCTCTTCATCCTCTTCCTCCTCCTCCTCCTTTTCGTCCGCCTCCTCCTCCTCTTCCTCCTCCTACTCCTCCTCCTTCTCCTCTTCGTCGTCCGCCTCCTCCTCCTCCTCCTCCTCCTCCTCCTCCTCCTCCTTCTCCTCCTCCTCCTCCTCCTCCTCCTCCTCCTTCTTCTGGCGCGGCGGAAAGCGGCCCATGCCACTCGCCCGCGCGCGCTCTGAGCTCCACGGGCATCGCGGCGACAAGGTGGAGCACGGCGACGCCCGGCCCGCCCGCCGCCGCGGCTGCCTGCCCAGGCCGCCCCCGCCGGCGCGCCTAGAAGCCTCGCGCGCCAGCTCGTCCGCCAGCGCAGCGGCCGTCGCCCGCGCGGCTTCGCGCCCCAGGGCGCGGCGCGGAGCTGGCGCGCGGAAGCGCGGTGCAGCGCCGTGGTCAGCTCAGCGCCCCAGCGGGCGGCGAACGCGCTGGCGGCGGCGGCGGTGGCCTCTGGCCCGTCGCCCGGCAGCGCGGCGCGCACGCGCGCCAGCCTTCGCAGGCGCTTCAGCGCAGCCGACCCGCGGCGCCCTGCCGCTTCCAGCGCCAGAGGAAGTACGCGCCAGGGGGCAGGGCCGGCGGGTTAGCGGCTCCTCTCGTCGCTCCCCGGCGCCATCCGCGCCCGACGCCGCGGCCAGGGCGCGGGCTTCGCCCAGCACGCTGTAGCGGACTGTGACGTCTGCTAGCAGCCGCGGGCAGCCCGCCCGCCGCGCCTGCAGTTCGAGCAGCGCCTCCTCGCGGTGAGCCTGCAGCGCGGCCCTGCAAGCCTGCCAGGGCCCTGCGGGCGGGCCGTAGGCGCGGCCGCGCGCCGCGCAGCTGGGCGCCGTGCACGACCAGCGCCCGCGGCCCAAGGCCGGGACCTGGCGCGCTGTCTGGAAGCCGCACTCTGCGTGAATGCGCTCCCAGACGTCTTCGACGTCCCGGCTGCGCGCCTCCGCGCCGCCTCCGCAGGCGCAGTGGAAGGCGCGGTGCGTCTTGCTGCTGAGGAGCCAGCCGCAAGCCTGCCCAGCGCGCGCCCCCGCACGCAGCCAATTCTGGCGCCAGCTGCTGGGCGGCGCGAGGTCCTGGCCCAGCAGCGCCCGCGCCGCGCCCAGGTAGTCGTTGCCCCCCAAACGCTCTCCGGGCCCGCCGCTGGCCAGCAGCCAGCCGGCCGCGCGGGCGCCGCCACAGGAGCGAAGTCGCGCCTGGCCCTCGGGGCCCAAGTCGCTCCGCAAGGCGCCGTGGTTCTTTTTGTCGAGCCTTCGCGTGAGCATGTTTGGGTTTTTTTTTCCCGAGGCGCCTTGGCAAGCTCCCGTCAGGGCGGCAGCGGCGCAGCGCCCTCCCCCCCTCCCTCGGCGGGGCCCTGCCCCGGCAGCGCGGCCAGCGCGTCCCGGCAGGCCGCGGCCAGCGGCAGGCCGGAGGTGTTCAGGTCCGCCAGGTCGGGCAGGCCGCTCCGATCCAGCGTGCCAGCCAGGCTCTCGGCCCGCCCAGGCCGCCGGGGCCAGCTCCTCCTGGCTTCGGAAGCCGCGCCCGCCGAGGCGCAGCAGCAGCCGGCAGTAGGCGCACTGACCCTCCGTCAATGGGGTCCAGGCGCGTCATTTCCTGGTAGGCCTCCAGAATGGCCGCGTCGTAGGCGGAGGCGGCGGCCCGCACGCGGAGGCGGTGGCCCGCGCGGTCGCGGGCGGGCTGGTGAGCAGGAGGCGCACCACTTTCCCCGTGCAGCAGCGCCACAGCGCGGCCTGCGCCACCGGCAGGTGCCGCGCAGCCCTCGACGCAGCGCTCGACAACGTAGGCAAGCGCCCCCAGATCCAGGCGGCGCCCGTCCGTCGCGTCTGGCAGGCTCCCTGGCGGCAGCGGCTCGCCCAGCGGAGCACCCACCATCGTGAGGCCGCGCGGGCGCCACTGCTCCTCGAGCCCAGCCGGGCACGGCGAACGCGGAGACCAGGCCTGCGTTTTTTGTGGTTGGAGCTCAAGGCCGAAAACGCCCAGGGCAGCCTGCGCTGCCGGGGTGACGGCGGCAGCCAAACCGGGCGGCGCGAAGACGATCACGTCGCCCAGGTAAGCCAGAACCTGGACGTCGTCGGGTCGCAACCCCCGAGCAGTTACCTCCTGCCTCCCCCAGCGCCTGCAGGCGCGGGCGCAGGCCGCAAGCGAACAGCAGCGGCGCCAAGGGATCCCTCTGGTCCATTCCGTCCGCCGAGCGGAGCCTGTGGCAAGCCCCGCTGCTGTCCCAGAAATAATACTGGGAGCGCCGCTGGCTGAAGAGCTTCGCGAGGGGGATCAGCTCAGGCGCACCGTCATTCTCATTCCCCTCCTCCTCATCCGCAATCCTCCTCCTCATTCCTCCTCCCCTTCCTCCCCCTCCTCCTCCTCCTCCTCCTCCTCCTCCTCCTCCTCCTCCTCCTCCTCCTTCTCATTCTCATCCTCCCCCCCTCCTCCTCCTCCTCCTCCTCCTCCTCCTCCTCTCCTCCTCCTCCTCCTCCTCCTCCTCCTCCCCCCCCTCCTCATCCCCCTCCTCCTCCTCCTCCTCCTCCCCCCCTCCTCCTCCACCTCCTCCTCCTCCTCCGCCTCCTCCTCCTCATCATCATCTTCCTCCTTTTCCTTCTCCTCATCCTCGCCCTCGCCCCCGTCCTCCTCCGCGCAGGGCGGCGGCGGCGCCGCCGCACGGCGGGCTGGCAGGGTCGTCCGCCGCGCCGCGGCCCACGGCCTCGGGGCGCGCCTCGGGCGCCATCCTGGCGCCGGCGCACAGACAAGGAGCAGGACCTCTGCCTCTCGTTGAAGGCTTAACGACGTCTGCCGTCCTTCGACTCGCGCTGGAGCAGCCGCAAGTTGCTCCAACTTTCCCTGGAGATCGTTGGATCTACCTGGATCTAACCGTTTTTTTTCCTGGATGTACTTGGGTTTACCTGGATGTACCTCGATGTATCTGCGTTTACCTGGATTTATCTGGCACGATCCCCACAAGTCGATTGGCGAGAAGTCGACAAGCCCGCAGGGATCCTCCCTGGCAGAGAGCATTTGTTCTTATGGGCGCGCACGCGCCGCTTGCGCAACGTCTCGCTCTGACGGTCTGTCCGCGCTATAGATAGAACTGTGGCGTTCGGCGCCCTCATGCTGAACCCCACATGCTTCTCAAAGACAAGGTGCTGAGAAGCTGTGCAGCCCGTTCTGGTCTGTACGCATGTTGGGACCAAAGCGATTCCAGAGTTTAGAATAGCTCTGAGACAACAGTGGCGTCAAACAGGCGGATGTTTGGCGATGTTCCCTCCTTCCCCTCCCTCCCTCCTCCCTCCCTCCCGTCGGGTCGACCATCCCTCTCTCCTGCGGAAGCCAAAAGGTACCGATACCGCTACTCCCCGACCTACCCCTGGGTGTGTTCTGGCCAGGATCTCGAGGCGGATCCAGCGGTGGCGACGAGGGCCTCCCAGAAGGCCATAAGGGAGGAAAATGGGCGAAGGGTAGTGGTCCGGGCACTCGGAATTCCATAACAAAAGGGAGCGGCCTGATTTTGGGAGGGGTTTGCTTGGAGCTGTCTTGGAGGGTTCCAGTGGGGTGGGTTCTGGGCAAAAGGTCGCCCCGTCCATTCCCCGTGCATGCTTCTGTTTCGTGCGTGTAGGTCTTCGCAGTATGATCCGACATGCTGCTCGATGGACCTTGCCGATGAAAGAAAATGCACACGTCCGAGCGATGCCAAGCCCTCTGGCCTACCGCCCTCCTCGCCCTTGGTCTAAAAGGCGGGAAACCGACACAAGCATAAACTTTTGAGGGCCGCGAGGACTCCTCGGATCCGCGCTGGACCCCCTCCCCCGGCGCGCAGAGCGCGCCGGGTGCGGCGCCGGAGGCGCCGCTGGGGAGGGGACACAGCGCGGATCCGAGAAACTCGCGCGGAACGCGAAAAGTTTGTGTTTATGGCGTTTTCGTGTCCTCGCCACTGAGGAGTCATGGCCCCGCCCGACGTCCCCCCTTGCGCGCAGAGCGCCGCTCGGGCGCCCTGCCCGCGGCCGCCCCCGCCGACCTGCCCGCCCCCCCGCCCCTGCGGGGAAGCCTCCTCCTCCTCCTCCTCCTCCTCCTCCTCCCCCTCCTCCTCCGCCTCCTCCTCCTCC